TGCTGAATGCGACAACCCGCAGGCTACAGCAGACTCGGGGGAGGGGCTCTAGCGCTTTGGGGCATAACAACACAGGGCTGGGAGCAAAGGCGTAGTGCCACCACCCTGCATTCCGGTCCAGACTCTGTTACTCACCAGCTACGAGACCTTAGGCAAAAGTACTGAGACTTTGGACAGCAAAATGGGAACACAGGGACTCAATGGGCGGTGCTGGGTGCTATGGAATGCTCGGGCGTCCCTGGCACATCAGGGTGCAGCTGCTAGCCTCAGGGCTGCTGCCTGCCCTCCTGGGGCCCAGGCCCTGCCCCAAAGGCAGCTTCCTTGATGCTGGCGTGGCCACACTATGCTCTCCTTGGTGCCAGGCTGCTTTTCTCACACCCCAAATTTATCTCTGCTTCCCCGAGACCAACCGCCTCCTGTGTCCCCACTGCAGCAGCTCCACTCATCCCGCTGCTCAAGCCGGACCTCCCCCCACAACCAGCCCCTATGTCCTGCAGTTCCTACACCCCAGGGAGCTCTCAGGTCCAGCCTCGCTCTCCACCCCCAAAGACACCCTCGTCACCCAGGCTGCCAGCAGCACTCCTCACTCCCGCCACATCTCCACCCCGCCTGGGCCAGAGCCGCTCAAGTGCAAACCAGACTGTCTCATCACTTGGCTTAATTAGAGTGGCTCCCACTGCCGGGCTCAGGTGCCAGTGCTCAGCCCAGCCCTGCCAACTGCATCAGTGCCCTTCCTCGCTAATCTCCAGCCTAGCCAGGCATCTCGGAAGGCACTGCCCTCGGCAGACAGTGGGCACCCGTGGGGCATCTGCAGGTGGCACAGTGGGGGACCTGCAGTCCACCTGTTTGGTGGACCAGAGTCAGGGATGCTAGAAATTCTGCCACAGGGCAACAGCCCTCACACTCAGCAACCAACTGACCTGCATCCTTCGAGTGTTTTCTGCACGGTTTCAGTATACCCTAACATTTCCAGGAATGTAACTGTCATAGAAATCAAGGGACACCTGTTCCTTGGTTGAGGACTACACTGGGAGTTGGTCACCACTTCAAAACACAACGGCACTGCTGACCACACCACTCAGGTGCCTGAGCTACAAACGCCATCTGTCGCCGTCATGGTCAAGGTGACTCTACACTGCTGCAGACACCTGACTACACACCGCATCACCTCTTCTGGGGCGGGAAGGCACGCTCTTC